TATTCAGGTTTCCGCGCGTAAAAAATAAATATTTATCTCGCGGAAAACTGAAGCACCGTGGAGATTAATGGAAAAGCGAACGGGAAAGCAAATAAAGCGGAGGATGAATCAACGATCGGGGCTCGTGTTCGAGATGTTGGGCTTGATTACGGTGTCAAGAACCTCAATTTACGATCTTCGTGGAGTATTTTTTCAAAAACCGATTTTTCATTTTCCTCTGGTGTTAAATAATTAAACCAAATCATATATGGTAATACTAGATTTTAGAGGGTGGATATCAGGGTTGTTATGTTTTAAACGTGATTAAAACACGACCACTACCTTGTTTTAATAATAATAATAGCTCCCGTATAGAGCGTTTAGCGCCTTGGGAGTAGCTAGGTACAGCTTGCCATACTACGCTTCAACCGCCTAAAGCTTGATTTTCATGCATCCGTTATACGTTGATACTTGAGTTTAAATATATTTGGTTGATACGATGGTCCGACGGTGCTCTGATTGGTCATAGCGTTTTCGCGCCACTTTTCGTCCATAAATATTTTACCTCAGCCCGTCAACGGACCCGTTCATACGATAACGGACGTTTTGACACTTTTTTGACAAATTTAATATAACCTTAATAAAAATATAAGTAAAATAGCAAAATCGTGATGGAAACGAAAATATAAAATAACACCAACGTATATCCGATAAACGGAGGCATGAAAATGCAATAAATTTAAAAACTGCGTTATTTTCTAACCAATCAAAGTCTTTAAATTCTACCAATAAAATTAATATCGTATCAACGTATCGTCGGACAACGGATGCATGAAAATCAAGCTTAAAGCCTCATTCAGAACCTCCCAATTAGTGGAATAAATTAGTGGTTTCAATTACACTTTATACTTTTTAGTTTACGATCATTCATAATGTTTAAAAAACACAATTAAAATTAATAAAATATCCTAGCAGCAGCTTGCGGTAGTCTGTTGTATCCATAAAGAACGCATAATATTTAGCTTATAAAACAATAAACTTTTGATTTCTAATCAAAATTTTTCTTGACGGGTGATAATCATAGGCCAAAATGACATTCCTCGCAAATTTTGAAGTATAATTAGTGGAAAAGTCAAAAGTTTGTTAACTTTTTCCAATAATTGAGAAATACTACCACTAATTATGACGTTCTGAATGCTTACATTAAAATTAGGTGAACAAACTTCTACGGCTAATTGAAACTACAAATTTAGTCCACTGATTTCGAGGTTCTGAATGAAGATTTTTGATCGATGGTTATTAATAATTTTGAATAACGTCATATTTTTCGCTGTTAAAGTATCACATTTTCCGATAACTATTATCACCATTTCCGTAGCATTGAACTTAATCAATTTTGTGCTTCGTTAACATTTTAAAACAGCAAAAAATATGACATAAATTAAAATTCTATCAATTACAATCTACCAAAGAATGAAAATGAAATTATATTACCATAGAAACGCGACTTAATTCTTAAATTCAACTGTATTTTCATGTTTTTTTTTTTATTTTGTCTGAAACGGTATGCAAAAATAAATAAGTTTTTCCTCTTGTACAGGCAATCCGAAGACATACTGTACAGAACAACTCTAATACATAATAAATAAAAAAAGTAATCTTCCCAACCTAACATTATCTAGAAAAAAAACAAATTATTTAGCTCATTATAACAGAAAAAAATGTAGCTAACTCTGGTACCAGTACTAATAAAAACAAGATACTTAATTACTTAGGCCCAGTTGTACAGGGTGGATCAAATTCGACGCTTTTAAATGGAAACACCCTTTTCTATGGGAGATCCCCATAGAAGAGATCCCAGCCAACGGCTGGGATCTTGGTTAGCTATTGAATTATTCTTGAAATTGGCTGCAAAAATTTGCTGGCAACTTCAGCGTTCAGAGGCGGTGCGTCGTCTTGCTGGAAAAATATATTTTCGAGTTCCATTAAGGGCATATCACTAATAAGGGATCCAAAGCCTACTAGTTAAAAGTGGCGAACTTGTAATAATTCTGTATTTCGAAGGGGATTATAACAAAATATCAAGTGTGCTATATTTTTGGAAAGGTAATTTTAAATTATTTTTAGTTAATGAAAAATATAGAGGGTGTCCCAAATAAAAAATCAATTTTTTTGTTGTTAACTCTTAAATTATTAATTTTAAAAAAATTATACTTAAACCATTAAATTCTACGTAAAAAGATGCTTTGAAAATGTTTTCATAGAAATACAAAATTTTCCATAGCAAAAAAGTTACAGCGATTTGTTAAAAATGCACATTTTTGAAAAACACCCCGTAACTCCGAAACGGTAACAGATATTGATGTGCGGTTTTCACCGTCATGTTTTTGATGAAAATTGAGCTCCAGACACCGATATTAGTTTTCGTCTATCTCCTATAGAAAAGGGTGTTTCCATTTAAAAGCGTCGAATTTGATCCACCCTGTACAAATATAGCTTAAACTCGTGTTCAAGTGAACTCTGAAAAACGCTGAACATGGAAATTCCATTTAGGTATTTTTTTCTTGTATAATATTATAAAGATGACTAAAAGCCCAGTTTATTCCTCGACAAAGGCTGACTCAATTTGAAAAATTAAAGCAAAATTTTGCTTTAATTTTTTTTTAAATTTTGAATGACAGCTACACTATGTTGATTAAAACAGAGTTAAAAGCAAGTGTTTTAAATAAGGCATAATTGCGACTTCGTTGAAAATTGTAAAAAACACATATTTTGTTTAAAAATAGAAAAAACATGTTCGACTGTTGTATTAGAATCTAACCTTACATCGAAATCAATAAGTGCATTTAGAGCTAGGTACTTTACAAAGCTAATAGTAAAATAAAAATAATAGAATTGGTCTGTGAGCGTGAATTTTTTTGTGATGGTATTTTTTTTCTTTAAGTATAGTTTAATTTACAATGAAATTGAGTGCATGATTATAATTTAGTTGGTATTATACTTTTGTGAAATATATATAGTTTTAAGATACCATGGTTAAGTGGAAGAGAATTTCGGACTTCCATTGTCTTTATTTATTTTTGCTTACACAACGTTTCGGTCAGAAGTATCATTGACCGTTATCTTTAAATTTGCTTTTTTTTCAATGAGGTTCTTTGTGGACAACCCGGGCTTTTGATCATTTTATGTTGTGATGGACCACACATGATCTGCAATGCCTCATTTCATTGTTTCATCTCTTGGCATATATTTATTATGTTCGTCAAATCGTACATGTAGAGGACGTTTCGTCTCTCCAATATACAACTCGCCGCACTCGCAAGGTACCTAGTAGATGTACTCCTCTTGTTTTGATCAGTGATTGATCCCGGGATTGATTAGGACACTTCTCACAGTAGTCCCAGATTTAAAAACGGTTTTAATTTTAATCTGCTTGGCTATTCGCCTGATCTTCTCCGATGTTCGTTTTACATATGGAATCGTCAAGAAAAGGAGAGTATCCACCTCAGGTTGGCGCACCAATGAGTCAGACTTGCTATTGGATATAATTTTGTCTAGGGATTTTGCAGACTAACCATTCTGAAACAAATCGGTTTTAATATTACTTAATTCAGAATTCAGAGATTCTTGGTCACTGCATATAGTGATTGCTCGATGACACCATGTTTTAACTATGTCTCTTTTGGTTGCTTCAGAATAGTTCGACTGAGAATTTAAATATTGTCCCGTATGTGTGGGTTTTCTATAAACAGCATTGCCAATGGACCCATCACTTCTACTGAAAAGAGCAACCAGACACGGTAAACAGAAGTTTTTATCTTTCTTAATCGTGAATTTTATTGAGTTACTTCGTGTGAGAACAGCATTCTTTTAGTTTTAATACTGAATCATTGTCTGTCACATTCAAAGTAACTATGTTGAACTTCGCGATGGTAGCTAATTAATTTACTGCTAATTTATATATTACTAGCGTGTACCAGCGACTTCGTTCGCGTCGAATTAATCATTTGTCAATGGTGATGATAAAGCAAAGCAAGAATTTCCATTAACATACAAACTGGATAAAATTTTCTCACATTTATGTCAGCATGAAAAAAAAAACAATATGGCGATATTATTATGTAACTTGGTAATATTTGAGGGGTAGTTTCATCTCGTTGGAATTTGACTTTCAAAAAATCCGTTTGCCAAAAATAAGCTTTTTACGTCAAGCAGTTTAAGCAGAATCGTGATTACTCAATGGTCATATTTTATGAAACACCCTGTATAAATTTATAAAAAAATCTTAAAATATGTAAAACAACAAAGTAAAATATACGTGTTTAAGAGTTTTTCCGAAAAACTCACCGGTTTTTAAATAAAAAATATTTTAATATTTGAGGGATAGTTTCACCCCCTTAGAATTCGAGTTTCGAAAAATCCCTTCTTATCGAACCTCTACACCCTAAAGTCAATCTGTTTTCCAAAAATCAGCTTTTTACGTCAAGCGCTTTAAGCAGGATCGTGATTAATCAATGACCAGATTTTTCGAAACACCCTGTATACATTTTTAAAAAATCTTAAAATATGTAAAAGAACAAAATAAAATATACGTGTTTAAGCGTTTTTTCGGAAACTTGACCGTTTTTTAAATAAAAAATATTGTAATATTTGAGGGGGGTTTCACCCTCTTGGAACTGGAATTTCGAAAAATTCCTTCTTATCGAACCTCTACACCCTAAAATGAACCTGTATGCCAAAATTGAGCTTCTTACGTTGAATGGTTTGAGCAGGATCGTGATTAATCAGTATGTCAGTCACTTAAGGATTTTATATATTAGTATAGATAATACTAAATAAAGACCATATAATTATTGTTAAATTTGAAATTTGAACATATAAAATGCCAGTCATGGGACCATCACTCTCCTGAAAATCTCCTTAAATAACGCATTTAACAAACCCAATAAAAACCAAAACAAACCCACCAAACAGAACTTGTTTAAAATTTAATTTTCTCTTTTCTCTCTTTCTGTTTTCAGGAATCGTAAATCGGGGCGACTCGTTCAGGAGGCGACGTTCCCGCAGCAACTCCCTATGTCCGCCGGCGATGGGATGCGGAGGCGCCCAGACGCCCTCACCTATCCTCGACAACCACCTCACCGAAGTGTCCAACTACACGGTGGCCCTTCTGGGAGCGCCCGGAGTTGGCAAGACTGCCCTGATCAGTCAGTTCATGACGTCGGAGTGTATCAATGCCTACGAAAGACAGAAAGGTAGGAAATTGTATTAACATTAAACAGCCTCTGCACTATGCGGAGAACTCTTCGAAACAAGTCAAGGTCGCATTTCGTTGCCATCTGTCAAGCGTTTCCTATTGCCTCGATCAATTTTGTTTCGTTTTGAGCTATTACCAAAACGTGGCGGTATCTGTACCCGAGGCAAAGGACTTTTTTTCATAAATCTCAGTGAAATAAGTAAACCTAGATAGCTGTTCTAAAATAGCTGTCGTTACGATGATATTTCGTTAATTATATCTCTTTTTATGTTGATATATTTCCCAAAATTAATATTTGAACACGCGTTCTCTATCGCCATTCTCTTTGGCATTAAAATATGTGTCAGAGTACCAAATTTCAGGTGTAAGAGTAGTTTACAAATTCTTAAAAATAAACAAAATATAATATCATTATTTAACCTTTCGGGGGTGTAACTTCTTCGAGAAGCATTTTAAGACATATTTTTTTAAGGCTTATTTTATTTCATAGGTACTTTTTGTTTTATTTTTATCTGTAGAATCACACACCAAAGTTAGATACACTATTTTTTGACACCCTGCATAAACCGTTTTATGTAGCGTGAAAATCATCTAAGTTTATAAAATTTTTAGTTTATTTAAAAATCGCAAAACTTCAGTACCCGTATCCTACATAAAATACAACAAAAATTAATGAGCATATTCACATACACCGTATTGTTTTCATTCTTCCTCTGTATTTTACCTGGACTCTACCTAAAAAACAAATCTATCTATAGTTCGCATTCGCGTGCACCTACCGCAATATCGATATTATGGTTTACGTTTTTGAATCATTATTGAAAATTATTGAAAATGTTTGTTATTGTTACTGCGGAAAATCGTTAACCAGAAATTCGTAAAATGCATTTAGTATAAATTATAAGTTCCTGAAATTCAACTACGGTATTTATGTGCATATAGATTAAAAACAATGGTGGTTTATTTTATTTTAAATAATTGGGTTTTCTATCTACTGCCAATATTTTATAGAGGGTGATATAAAGACTACTTTATTTAAGTAGTAGGTATTACTGTTATTGAAGTAAAACTTATTTGCGCGCGTTGGGAGTAAAAATTGAAGGCCGTGACACACGAGCTAACGTCAGGAAAAGTGATAACGACAGTGTTGCCACAGCTACCCCATTCGCGGTAGATCTACCCCTTTGTAAAATAATTTAACTTGCTCTGGGCAAACATCTAACCTATCATCACCATGAATCCTATACAAGGTGTTTCAAAAAACATGTACCATCTCGCGTGGGAAGATTCCTCACATTAAAATAAGATGTATTTTTCATATCAACATATTATCTGACAAACGAATCTAAAACAGCGGAAGGAATTCGGGCAAAAAAAGTCGATGTTGTCACGTTTAATTATAGAAAAGCAAAGTTGCTCGATATTACCTATAAATTGAATATATTTTAGTTCATTTCAGCATACATAATTATATATATGCTAATATGTTGATGTAGTTCTTATTGTAATAATGTATATTTATCTAATTAACTGATTTCGTTCATTCTGCCTATTATAAAAGGTAAAGTATTTCCTTAAAATAACGTCCGCTTAGAGTAAGCTGACAACGCTGACAAAATTCATCATGGCATCCCGGATTCAACCAGTCTGATTGGTCGAGATTCTCGAACGTCTTGTCGCCATTACCCCCAACTTTATGCCCCTCTCTAGGAATAGTAGAAACAGTCACTACTATTGAAAAATCCAGTGGCGGTGTTATCGTATTGTGTTTTATATCTTTAACTTGATTTGTATTTATTGTAATTAGTACACGCGTTTTAACAAATATTACTATATTTGGCAAATGACTAAACAAAATGTAGGTACATTTAAAGTAAAATAATATTATAAACTTTACTGGAAAATATTATAAAAATTCCTGATATATTTTTATGAAACACCGCAAGCTCGTGGGTATTTCATGAATGAAATCGGTCATGATTTTAGAAAATTGCGATCCCCTTGCCGTTGCCCCGTTGTTTCAGATCCGTTTGTCAGACTGTAAGTCCGATTCTGCTCTGTTTCGTAGCTACAGGGTGTTAAAGTCTTAATATTTTTCCGATTTATTATAATTTTCTTCCAAGTACTTTTAGCGTTTCGAATGAAATTTTGAGGGTAAAAGTTACTATAAATGCGACATATTTTAAAGTTACAAACATGTAGACATCTTCACCAGGGCATATGGGTTATTACTGCAATATTTTTCTAAGAAAACATATACGCCACTGACTTTTTTTTTCTCTTGTTAGCGAAATAGTGTAAATAGTTTAATGCCGATTAAAATTTATCTCTTGATATTTTGTTGATTTCGGCCGCCTTGATGAGATAAACCCAATTTTATAAATTTGCCTTGATCCAAGTTTTACCTTTAAAAAATTTTAATATCATTAACTTGCAAAAGTTTTTAATAAGTACTCATTTATTCCTCATCAAACAATGTGAGAAAAAGTTCTTATAAAGATGGGTATGGAAATGTTTTAGAGTTACAGGATGTTAAAACTTTTTAAAATTAGTTTTTTTTGTAATTATCTTAAATACCATTATTTTTTTATTTGAAATTGCTGTTTGTAGGTTGGACTAATAGTAATAATATTTAATAATAAATTAGGTAAAATATATAATTTATTAATTTTATTTTTATTTTAATTTTATTAATAATTGTGATTAATAAAATTGCGTTTATCTCATCAAGAAGGCCGAATTCGACAAAATATCAAGAGATAACTTTTAATTGGCATTAAAGAGCCTACACAATTTTGATATCAAAAGAAAAAAGTCAGTGGCGTACATGTTTTCTTTGAAAAATATTCCACTGATAACCCATATGGACGTTCCTGATGAATTAATCGACACTATTGTAGCACTTATAGTAACTTTTACCCTCAAAATTTCATTCGAATCACTAAAAGTACTTGGAAGAAAATTATAATGAATCGAAAGATTATTTAGACTTTAACACCAATAAGTAGCTACGAAACAACGCAGAATCGGGCCTATGTTGATATGAAAAATAAATTTTATTTTTACGTGAGGAATCTCATCACAAGAGATGGCACATGTTTTTTTAAATACCCTATATATTAAAATTAAAAATAGTTCAAATGTAATAAAAAAAATAAATAGATAAATACTAAATCCAGTCATTCTGAAACCACTAGTCGTCTTCAGCATCGAAGAGATATAGAAGAAAAGTAACCCTATAATCCAAATAAGCTTCTTAGAAAAGATAGATAGCGTCTCGACTTAAGTAGGCATATGATTGGATTATATGCAGAGGAACGTACTAAATCGTTCGGTCGAGAATCGCTAGGTCTTAAAATCGAATCGATACGCTGTTTCCCGACTGAACCGGAAGTAAATTGCCGGGAGACGTATTGGAATTGTCGAGTTGGATCGACACGGATAATTAGTTTGAAATAGGAAAGAGGTACCAATTAAATTTCAACGATATTATAAACTATTACCGTATGAGTGATATATTTTTATTCTGAATTTCGAATGTCGTAAAAGGTAATTGCGAATGAATAACGTACAATGTTTTATTTCATACTGTTTGAAAAAAATACTACGTTTTTAAATATTTGAATATATTTTAATAGGCTTTTGTATCTTACTGTGACCGACAAAGTCCATTTTAATTTTATTTTGGTGGTCATAATATCAGACAAATGGACGACCGATTGAATATGACAAACTAGGTGCCATTTAAAAATCAAAAGTTGTAGTCATTTCCGGTGAAACCGGAAGTGACTGAAAACAATTGAATGCGTCAATAAATCCCAATTTATGTCATATACTAACATACCAAATCTCGTTTTTTTTAACTGAAAAAATAAAAAAAATATAGGGGTGAGCCACTTTTGAGACGCACCCGGTATAGGAAGGTGAGGCTATATGAGGTTAATAATTTTGTTTAAATACGAATAAATTTTCTCATCTATGAAGTATTATTCCGCAACGCGTTTTTTTAATGGTACCAAACCTATTAGGTATGGTACGCAAAAATATTTGAAAAGTTTTTAAATACCTATTGTCTACCTTGCCTCTTATCGTTAAATATTGCGAAAATTTTTGACCCCTTAACATTTATTTGTCTTTTTTCAGTTAACATTATAAATAGGATTCATTTTAAAGAAAACACTAAAATTCAACTTCTCTTCGGTACTTTAAAACAAATAAAATAACGACTAACCTTCAAATTTCAACAATACGACAGTGTTGCCACAGAAAACAATTGAATACGTCAATAAATCCCAATTTATGTCATATACTAACATACCAAATCTCGTTTTTTTTTTAACTGAAAAAATAAAAAAAATATAGGGGGTGAGCCACTTTTGAGACGCACCCGGTATAGGAAGGTGAGGCTATATGAGGTTAATAATTTTGTTTAAATACGAATAAATTTTCTCACCTATGAAGTATTATTCCGCAACGCGTTTTTTTAATGGTACCAAACCTATTAGGTATGGTACGCAAAAATATTTGAAAAGTTTTTAAATACCTATTGTCTACCTTGCCTCTTATCGTTAAATATTGCGAAAATTTTTGACCCCTTAACATTTATTTATCTTTTTTCAGTTAACATTATAAATAGGATTCATTTTAAAGAAAACACTAAAATTCAACTTCTCTTCGGTACTTTAAAATAAATAAAATAACGACTAACCTTCAAATTTCAACAATATTTGGGGCTTTGAATTTAAAAAACTGCTAAAATTCCACCTTACCTGTGTATAATCGAGTTAAAAATACTGTATCTAATAGCCATCAAATAATTTAAATTTATAAACACAAACAATCAAAATAATTCTCGCCCTGAAAATGTCTAAAAGAAACAAAAATATGAGCTAATTAATTCATCCACGCTGTTCTCACCACAACCGGCCAGCCACCGACACTTTCACTTTCTGAGTCATGCATACGAGATCGAGACTTTGTCACATTTTCAATAGTCAG